ACTTCGGGGCTTCCAGCCCCCCCAACATAGCTGCCCTTCCTTGGGGCCACTGAGGAGCTGCCATTGTGGCTATGCCATCTCCGGGGAGGTGGGTGACAAGAGGCCCCACCTCCAGGGCTTGCACCCCCCAGGCACCCCTCTTTTTACTCAAAGGCACTGACTGTCACCTGGGGGCTGGCGCCGGCCTCCCCCAGCCTCTGGCTCCCCAAAGGCCCGGTGTCGACCGAGCCACAGGCCACGGACAGGGGCCAGGGCAGGGGAGGCCAGGGTGCCAGAGCCTGGGCACCCGCACCCCCGACTCCCTCTCGCATATGCAATGCCTATGTGGGGCCTGTACATAGACACCCTGCTGAGCTGAGACTCTTCCTCGCTGAAGCCCAAGGCGGGTGCCCCTGCTGCTGGCCCGTCTCCTGGTCCCCCTGTGCTCTGTGACAAACCCCATCTTCTCATCTTTTTCATTTTCTTTTTTTTAAAGGGAAGCTTTTTCAGAAGGCAACTTTCACCGTTCTTTCTACAGGATAGTTTTCATCTCCTCCTGGCACCCCCAGCCCCCGCAAGCCCGTCAGCCCCCCAAATGTCTCAGGACCCCCCCTCCTGAGGGGGTGGCAGGGGAGCCCAGGGCCAGGTGGCCCGGTTCACACCCGAGTCACGGGGCAGGCTCTTTCAGAGGACCACGTGTGGAGGCCATTGCAGAGAGCTCGAGCACCCAGGCCAGAGACCACCCCCCGCTCCCCACAGCTCCCTCTCCCCCCACCCACACACCTCCTCGCAATAAAACCAACTGAAAAATGATAGCTGTCGTCCTGGCCGTGGGGGTGACCGAGTTTGGGGGATCGAGGCCTCTGGGACTGTGGCGGGGGCAAGGGCTGAGCCCCGCCGAGTACACTTTAACAAAGCTCCTTGGGAATTGCACTAAACCCCGACCCCCAGCTTTCGCCAGCCCTGCCCACCCACTCCGCCTTAACCCATCTTCTGCTACCCGCCAGCCTGTCCCGGGGGCCGAAGCGTCTGCATGGGCCCAGAGCTGGGACCCCCGCCCGCCCGGCCCGGCCCCCCAACTTCGCGCAATCACATACTGTATATAGACGTGGATCAATTTTATTTTTATTCTTTAAATTAAGGTCGTGATAAAGTGTTGCCAAAGATACTGCTGAATTCTCGCGTTTCAGGAAACAAACAAACAAAAAAAAATTGGAGGGGGAACGTGCTGACTGGTCGGAAAGGACACAGCGAAAAGTTTTTTTGTTTGGTTGTTTGGGGTTTTTTTGTGTTTTCTTTTTTGGGGTGTTTTTTTTT